ATGTGGGGGGCTTATGAACCGGGGTCCTGCATCTGGATAATTATGCCTGCAGTGTGGTCTTCCTCCCAACGTGGGGAAGTCCTCGAAGAGAGACTGGAGAACAAATTTATGTTGTTTTAAAAAATGTCTTAGGTTTCCATTGTGTCTAGCCTGAGAATTACTCACAGGTCCTGTAACGGTGTGAGAGTGCTTCCCGAGGCTGAGAAACCCATTTCTTCTTGCACTTTCGGCCAGCGGTGCCCGGCGTGTCAGGGCTGAGGGAGGGTAGAAGCTGGCAGGTGAGGGCCTCATCCCTGCTGTTCTGTGGTTTCAGACCCCCGAATAAAAGCTGCTCATGTCCAAGCATGTGCTATATGAGAATTTAAATTTTATTAGACAACTTTGGGAAAGAAGCAGGCTTTAAAAGAAGAGACAAAAGCGCTGCTTGTGGCATTTTTCTCTTTGGAGGATTTGAAGTTGCAGGAGAAGATTTCAGCGAGGTTGGGGTTTGCGGCTATTTCGGAGAGTCCCCTTGTCCTTCCGAGGACCCCCCGGCCTGCTTTGATCTTCTTTCCAAAGTTTGGGAGGGTGGCCGTTTTCACAAGCTGCTTCAGTTCCCCAGGTGGGCGCTCTGGAAGGGTCCTGCTCCTTCTCCACCCCACCCTCTCAGCACCCCTCCACTTAGAAAGTCCCCACCTCCCCACAGAGAGGGCTTAGGAACCTGATCCTACCCTGACCCAATGGCCCTTTGTGGGCACTTCTCCAGGTAAGAGCATCCTCCTGCGCCTGAGCTGGGGTCTGTCACGGGGTCCCCACCCCACCCAACCCTGCTGCTCCTCCTGCCTGCTGTCCCATCCACCCCAGGTGTGTGTGTGCTTGTGCATGTGCACACACACATCATGCACATCATGCACATCATGCATACACCACACACACCATATACATCATGCACACACACACCACACACATCATACACACACATCCTGCATACACCACACACACACACCACACACATCATATACATCATGCACACATACACACCACACACATCATACATACACATCATGCATACACCACACACACCATGTACATCATGCACACACTACACCCACATACACAA